GTTTCTACCTAGGGAGCAAACTGCCTGGTGGAGAGTTAGATAGTAATTAGACAACAAAAAATGCAATGTAGAAAGTATTATAAAGTAAATTCGGAGTTCTCATCTCTGAAATTCAGGGAGATTTAGACACTTTTTCAAGTTGACTATCTTAGATCAGATGCCCTAGAAGCAAAGCCTGAGGTGCAGATTTCTATATTCTTGGGCAAGTCATTTGCTGGAAAGGGGATTGCAGGAGATATGGGCAGGGGAGTAGGGACACAGGATAAAGGAGAGGTCAGGCCTCAGCCTGATCCATGAGGAGCTCTGGAACATGGGTTGATGGATTGTATAATAGAGATTGTCCTGCCCAGAGACTAGGATGTTGGGCTGCTACCCCACAGCCCAAACCTTCATCTCACATCAGTCTATCATTAGTCACAGGCAACCCCAAGGAAAATGGAGAACATGGTGGGCATAACTTCTTAGGCATCTCCAGGTAAGGCAACTCCTGCTGACTAAAGGAAATTACCCAGAAGACAGTGCAGCATAAGCCATTAGCTGCAAACTCTCCTGGTAGTGGGGTGGGAATACTTCCCTGGTAAATAAAATCTGGATGGGACACTCCCAGTGATGGCTGCAGTCCCATAGTGGAAGTGGATGGGGAAACAAAGGTAGTAGGTGCCTGTTCTCTGGTTTAAAACCAGTTTGGGTTTGTCTGCCAAAGTCCAAAACACTCTTAGGCACTAAGCCACATATACAATGAGTTTATAGTTTCTACCTACTGGAACATATTTAGTTTTCCCCCAAACACATTAAGTAAATACCAGCCCATTAAGATTGACAAGAAAATTGGGATTCTGAGAATATGAACCTTCAGGCCACATGGTCCATAATAAATCAGTAGAGTCAGGACTCACCCCCAGGTCTCCTAGCTCTAACTGCTTTTCTCTCAAGTTACCTGACCTGGGGGGAAATGGATCTTGGTGTGAGAGTGAGGAACCAAGACCATTTCCTACATCAAAACTTCAGTAAAGCAAATCAATCAGAGCGTCTATAGCTTGATCCTGTTTGGTGGCTATTTGAAGAGATGTGTTGCTTTGTTCCCTAGATCAAGTTCAGGCTTCCTCCATGAACTTCTTCCACTAAGGAACATGTTTTTTCAGGCACCAGTCATTGCCAGTCCCAGCCAGTCTTTTGCTTGAAGATGATGTGATCTGGTATAAACCTTTCTGTGCACCCCCACATCCTGGATGTCCATCATTTCCCTTATAGGCTTTGCCTACCAGGCAGATACTCATGCAATACTTCTTCCTCTTACCCACGACTGCATAGACTTTACTGCAGCAGGGCAAGGATGCTGGAAACTAAATTCCAGTTCTAACAATCAGTGGCTCCGCCACCATGGGCAAAACCTTTAATCTCAGAGTTTGAGTTTCTGCCTCTAAAATTAGTACCATGCCATTTCCTATTTAGAACTGTCATGAGGATTAGAAGCAACATATTTAAAATACCAAGCACATAGCTGGTGTGCAATAAATGATAGTTATTTTTATGTGACAGACACACCTGCACAGGAGACAGAATGCACGGGTGCTTGCTAAGTAAGCTACCACCATTTGGAAAGCAGGTGTCAAGGTCACAAATGTTTGATGGGTAGTAAGTTCTCATTGCGTTTAACCCATTTGCATTCCAAGTAGACATGTCTCTTTCCTGCATGTCCCCTAGCTCCTTCCCCTTTCCCATCACCACTGTCTTGATTCCTCCAGCTTTCCTTGTCCAGAATGTTCTGCTCTGGTTCCATCCACCACCATCCATGCTCTGACTCACTAGCACATCCTTTAAGAAGCTTCTGCATGGAAAGAGAAGGGTCCCTGTGGCTCATTAGCTCTAAGTGGTCTGGGTCATAGCTCTGCCAGGCAACCTTTGGGAAGATTGTTCACCTGTCACTACTCCTAAATAATGGCATTATCAGTGACATCTCTGCCATTTCTCACCCGCTGCTTATGATCCTCAATGCCACCATTCCCCACCTCTGGGCTAACTATTCCTCTGGCATAAGTAGCAGTCCTGTCTTTCTTTGAAAGCAATAAGGGAGGTCCACTTCTTATACCTCACTTCCTCCTCTCTACTGGTATAATGGGACTATTTATTCCTAAACTAAATGAGAAAGTACTGGCCAGTTCTCAATGTCATTTCCCCTATTTTCCTGATTCATGTGTGTGTGTGTGTGTGTGTGTGTGTGTGTGTGTGTGTGTGTGTGTGTTTAACTTAAACGCAAGACAGTTAATAAGTATTAGTTCCTATTGCTGCATTTTCCTTTATTCTTTAAGGGCTTAATAACACGTTAAGTGCAGAGTAGGAACTCCAAGGAAAAATACAATTTTAATGAACATCTGAACTCTTGGTCGTGATTTCTGATTCCTCTGTAAGCAGTAGGCACCCTGGGCATTGGTCTTTTCTTTCTACTCCCCCCTTTAGTCTCCTGGGACAGATGGAGCAAGCACCCTGCACTCAGAGGCATAGCATCGTTTTTGCTGAATGAGCAAATGTTCAGGCTGTGAGCTGATAACCACTTAACAGGATTTCAGCTCTATCTGAATCCTGGAGGGAGGGCAGGGCAGGAGCTGTCTTGACTCAGAAGCTTCAAATGCCCTGAATATTCTAAGTATAATAGCTGAGGCTCCATTCAGCTGCTCTCAGCCACCTGTCCCAAAGGACCCCACCTGGAGGCCCCTAGGTTGCCCTGGGCCTGGACTGGTTTGCACAGGAACCTCACTCTATCCAGTTGGCATCTCTCTCTTTGTTAATAGAATTGGTATTAGGTGTGTTTGGGAAGGGATTAGGTTCCTGAGTCATGGCATTTGGACTGCTATGAAGGCAGGCACAGGTCAAGTGCAGGGCATCCTCTGAATTGGACAGTGTTCAGATGAGATCTAAGTGCCTAATCTGTAGCCACGGCTCTGAATCCTTGTACCTTCCAAGCAGACATAGCCAGTAGGACTCCAACCCCTTTCCCATGGTCCACCTCCATGAAAACATCCTTAGTTAAAACCAATTATTGAATTTATACCCACTGACCATTTTACACTGGGCCACCCCAACATCAGCTGTGCCAGCCCCATGTTCCTGGTGCTTAGTCCTTCCTTCCTCCATTCCTACCCAACACCTCTGCCCCAACACTCCATGCCTCAAGCATATCATCCCTATGAGAATACAGGCATTGATAGGTATTTTGCAAAAGCCATCCTCTTGGGAGTCGGAAAACTCACACTAGGGTTTCCATGGTCGCCAAATTTCTGGGCAGCCTTGGAAACTCGATTTAACCTTTCGGGGCCTCTTGTTTCTTCAGCTCTTAAACGGGGGGTGAGGAAAGCCAGACCTAGTGATGTGCTGCAGAGGGAAGTGTTGTGCAGACTGCAGTGCAAAGGGAAGTCCTGCTACAAGGATTTCTGACCTGCCCTCTGGGGAGCTGGAGTCATTGACAACCTCAATGGGTTCTGAGGAAGAGGCAGGGCCTGGAGCGGGGCATGGGCCATGCAAAGGTTAGGCCCGGTGCAGATGCTGATACAGAACCAAGGTGACTCACATCTCTGGTAGCACTCCTGAGAATGCAGGCTCATTCTTGCCCCTTCCCTGTGACTCACTCACACCTCCCAGGATGGAAGGCCTTTGGCACGAGGGAAGGGATATGCCGGTTAAATAGGGAAGAACTGTCCTCAGTCTGGGCCTTTTAGCCTGAGTTCAGAAAGAATTGTGTAGTGAGAAATGAAATGTGTGCTTTAGCTATGCAAGGACTCCAAGCCTGGCGGACTTAAAGTCAGTGTGAACTTGGGCATGGTCTTTATCTTCTTCGTGCCTGTTTCCTCCTTTTTTGAACCTGCCATAATGATTCCTACACTTCCTGAGCTGGCTTGGGGCAACATTTCAATGAGGTCCTGTTTGTAGAAAATGATCAATGATGTCCATTTCACTCCTCTGCCTTAGTTATAAACTATGTCAGGAAATGGATTTATTTTGCCTGATTATATTTTTCATTTTACCATAATGAATATGTTTTGCTTTCATGAGAAAAAACACACAATATGTTTAATCCTGTAAAAGGCTAACTGAAGGAAGACAGCAGAAATAACTGAGGCTCCTCCAATGAACCAGCTATTTGGGGGCAGAAGTCAAACTGAAATGGGGTTCTCACATCTGGGCGCAGGTGCGCAGGGCTCCTTCTGCACTACCCTCTGGTTCATGCTTTTCTTTCTTTTTCTTTTTCTTTTTCAATTTTAACCCTTGACGTTTACATTTCTCCCACCTTCAGAACTCCAAGTTAAGAGGTGATTACTAAGCATACACATATCTATGTCTCAAAGCATTTGGCATATGTGTCTACAAATGCATTGTGAGCATTCAAGAGATAGCTAAACAGACACCACCTAAGCAAAAGGCTTCCCCTTTAACCAGCTTTTCCCAGAATCTTCAAGTCGGGGACACACATAGATTTTGCAACCCATCTTTTCTATTCTAAGTGGCTCTGCAGAGACCCATTGCCACTTGGGGCAGTTTACAGAGTCCCAAGGTCATTCTGAAGGCCAATGCTTTACATCACTTTATTGTAGGTTTCGCCCACCTTTATTGTAGGTTACACCCTTTGCTGAGACCAGTATATATATACAAGTACCCTCTGAGTCACAGGCATATCACAGGGAGCTTCTTCCTAGTTATTAATATTGCTTCGTCCACCTTGAGTTTACATGGAGTTAAAATCCACACTCAGGTATGTGCTGAAGTCAGGAGTGGGCAAAACTGCCTCTTCCAAAATAACAGGGGTCTCAGTGAAGATAAATCTTACAGTGCAAGTGATGACCACAGCAAGACAATCAAAATTAAAAAGAGCAACGAAGAAAAGAAAGGAGGAAAGACGAATGTAATATCCATCAAAACTTGTTTTTGTTTTTTTTTCAGTAACAAAGGAATATAGATTCTCCAATGGGTGCAACATGGACAGCTATTTTGAGTCAAGGGCAAGTTAATTATATTAAAAGAAGACAGCGTCTCCAGAATTTATTATTATTTCTTTTTGCAGTGAAATCTTTTAGTTCCTTCATATAGAGACATATTACACAATGTTAACAACCATGAAAAACAATACAAAATGCCCTCAATTTAACAAGTAGAAAAATATAACTAGTATATATGGCAATTGTGAATCTAATACTGTACAGAAGTCATTTATGGATCTTACAAATAAATTATAGCTTAAATGCCTTTTAAAACTCCTTCCCCCACCCTAGATGTACACCGGAACTTACAGTATCAGAAAGGTTGGGAGCCTAGCTTATTGCAAATCAGTGCCAGTCAAATGTTCTGCCCACGAGCTCAAAGAATTTCTTATTTGGCTCGTGGAAATATTCGTGCAGTTTATGGAGGAGTTTGGGGTCCACTTGGGGGTGCGCCCGGCCTTTGGACTCATGCAAGCAGCGATCCCGCCCGCTGTCCCGCAGGCAGTAGAAGCCCTTGGTTTTGTTAAAGTAGAAGTTTGAGGCGTTGATCTGCGGGGACAGCTTCAGGAACCTCTCCACCCTCTGGATCTCAGGGAAAGGGTCCCTGATGAGGCGGTCACCGTCCACAATGTGGATGCGGTGCAGCGGGAAGAAGCGCAGCCAGTTGCGCATGTGCACGTGGTAGAGGCTACGGTTGAGCGCCTTGTAGTCCACGTTGAGGCGGCCATCGCGCACCAGGAACTCCTCGATGGACGGGTAGGGCTTGTGCTTCTGCACGTGGTTGTACAGCACCTGCGTGTAGTCTGACAGCACGCGCTCCGAAGGGTCCCGCAGGATGAGCAGCAGCCGGAGGGCCGGGTTCATACCGTGGACCCGCTCAGGCACTTTGGGTGACGTGAAGTACGCGGGGGTCTTTTCCACGGTGAGCTGGTGGGGGGCGGAGAGGGGCATCTGGCTGAGGTACCAGCCCAGGCCTTGGCTGTAGTGCTCCTCCCAGTCGAAGAAGTGCACCTCGTTCTCGGCGGCCGCCACGTCGGGGTGCAGGCTGAGCATCTCCAGCAGCGCGCGGGTGCCGCCCTTGCGCACACCGATGATGATGGTCTGCGGGAGCTGCCTGGCAGAGCCATTGGGGGCCGCGCCTTCCAGGGCCTGATCCTGGAGGGTGGCTGCTTTCCACACCAGCTCCTGTGGTCCAGGTTCCGCCCAGGGCGCGCCAGGGCGGGAAGGCACTAGCTGGAGCTGTGCCACCAGCAGCGCCGCGCCCAGGAGCAGCGTGGCCATGCTGGACACCACGGGGGCTTCGCTAGGCCGGACGTCGCTGGGTCATGAAGCGCCACCGCAGGAAATGCCTCCTGGTCAGTGACACATGGGCGTAGCAGGCAGCCAATTACTAGGAAACAAAGAAAGGAAAATATTAACGCCAAATCCACAGGCTTCCTGGAGTAGTCCACCTCCCTGGGGCTCTCTCAGGTGCCTGACCTGTAAAGCAGGGGCGGCAACATTTCTGTGCAGGACCAGGTTGGGATGGTTTAGGCTTAGGGACATTCAATCTCCATGGCAACTCCAAGTATGCTGTTTTGCTCTAAAGCACCCATGGATGTCCTAATACAACTTTAAATATTATTTTTATTTTGTTTTCCAACAATGTATATGCTTAGTTCTATTTTTGCAAGAGAAGGGAGAGAGATTTGGCTCTGCTGCCCTAATTTTCCAAACTCTGCTGTAAAGGAAAGGATTGGAAAGGCCTTTCGGACTTCAACAAACACCTAGCCTCAGGCCTAGGGGTAGGTGATATAGGAGCAGACATTGTTCCTGCTCCCTGCTCACCCCCACGCCCCTTCCACCATGGGGCTCCTGATCTAATAGGGCAGGTGAACTTGTCGAAAGATTGATCATTTAGTTCCAATTCTTCACCCCACTTCACCCTACCCTTCAACCAGTTCTTGCTGTGGCCTCATTGTCAGGGGACTTCCTCACAGTTTGGTTTGGTTTGGCCAATGACCTGTGGTCAGTCCCCAGCCCAGGCAGTGAAAGGCCACGTGTGTCTCCACTTGCCCTCTCGCCATGAGAAGAATGAACCCTGGCAGCCCCTGCCTCCAGGAGGAAGAGGGGAGACAGGTGCAGCAGAGCCACCCCAGCTCATGAGTGAGAGAATACACTCTGGTGCTTTTCAGCCATTGAGTTTTGGGATGGCTTGTACAGCAACGCTCATATGGGAAAGGTTAACAGATGCAACCTGACTGCAGGCATCGACACAATATATGTTATGATTACATTCTAGGCAGGGTCCCATGAGGGCATGTGGTCATTCATTTGGCCTGAAACAGTTGGGGAGGGCTTCACAGCAGAGGAAATGTTTGACGTGGGGCTAGAGGGATAAACAGATGAGGTTACTAGAAAGAGCAAAAAGCCTTCCTGTGTGTAAAGCCTTACTGTCTATAAAGTGGCCCTGCAGTCTGCTCAGGTGACTTGTCACCACACCTTACAGTGTACGGTAGGAAGGCAGGACAGTTAGAGATGAGAGTCTTGCCCAAGGACACTAACATTCAGTCCATTTCAAAATTCAGAGCCCAAATTAAAAACTCTAAGCTCAGGGCTCTCTTTCCACAAATTGCCTCCTTTACACCTTCTCTTCTCTTCCCTTCTGGGATTTATCACAGTTAGGCCTTAAAGTCCCTCAAGCACACAGGGCACTGCTGGGTCAGATGGACAGATGGCATAGGGTTCCCAAAGGCAGATGAGTCATGGTTCATGTTTTCTGGGTTCTGATAAACAACAATCTAAACGAGGAGGCAGCAAGCTATCCTTTAAGTAATTCCTGTCTAAACACAGTTAGGGATGGATGGCTTAGAGACAGACTGGGATTGGGACTGGGATTTCCAGAACCAGTAAAAGTGTTCTCCATCAAGAGGGCCCATCATCTTTAGACCAGGTTTAAAATTCACTTAGTTTAACTCTTGTCCAGAAGGTGTAAACAGAGAACCACACCCAGGGATCCCATTTTAATGATCAAACCAGTTGATCTATTTCCCTCAGATATCAACTGTCTGGGGAAAATGTATATGAAAGAACAAGCAATGAAATAGCTGGAAACCTCTGGAGAATCCCAGAATGCTGGAGAAGAGACTTGCAAGATTGGGTGGCATAACTGTTTGGGAAAAGGAAGGGAAATGTTTAAGGATGACTGGCCCGACAAGATATGGTTCAAGATTGGTTCTACTGATTGGATAAGCTCAATTTAATGGGCCATTTGTTTTAATCAATTGAACATTTCAGTGTGTTTCAGGCAAATTCCATTTCCTTCTCAACTGCTCATGTGGATCAACAGAACGGGCCGGCTGTGCTTGCCTTGTACATGTTTTTATGTGTGTGAGCACATGTAGTGTGCCTGTATGAATTTGTGCCCGACTCCAGGCCCCAACCCTCCCCAACCCTGCTACACCTGAGTGACAGAGTTGGAGACCAGATCTGCAAGTCATATTGTCTGACCATCCTTCCCACCCTGTTAGGAGGTATCCTGGTTAGCACCATGCACATCAGAGATCTTTCTTCTAGGGGGAATTACCAGCAGTCCCAGGGAAAAGAAATGAAATGTAGTTTGCCCTTTCAAAACAGAAATGAAAAATAAAAAATAAATCAACTGGGAAGTTAGTAGTTTATAAGCTCCTCATTTCTACTTCAAACTTTCTAAAAATGTAGTTTCTTATTGTAAGCCTTTCTTCTACATTCCAAAAATATTTAATATTCAAGCTATATGGAAAGTAAAAGCTTAGCTAAAGTCTCATACACACGGAGAGAGACAGAGAGGGAAACAGATAGAAAAGCACATATATGTACTAGTATGGGCTACATGTAGAGAGAGCTATGTGTATAGCATGTGCATTTATGAAACTTTAGCCAATTAATATGTATACACATATATCATGTGTATATGTATGCACACACATATGTGTACTATATATGTAAATTTATATATATAAAATATATCACAAACACAGTGGCCATTAAGAGCCACAGTCTTTCTGTAGTAGTCTTTCTGTAGTAGTATGATAATTGTTCAGTGGCATAGACATAATCTCTGGGCCTCTTAGTAACACTCTTAGAAAAGCAAAGATCCCCACGCTCAGGTGAGCCTATAAGCCAGAACATCTGAGCCGAATGGATCCTGACAGTGGGATTCTGAACATCAAGGCAAAAGAGAGCCATTGAGCCACTGCCTTTCATTATGTGGGTGAGGAGGCCCCGAGATGACTTGGCCAAGGTCACATGGAGAATCCAGGCTTGAACTTGTGGCTCCTGAGTTCCAGTTCTGTGTTCTATTTGCTATTTCTGCTGCCTCCCAAGTGTGGGGTCTCAACATTCACTAATGGCAATGGTTTTGGGGTCCTAAACCAAAAGACCCCCCCAAAACCTACCCAGCAGTGACAATTCCCTGGCCACCTACTCCAGCATCAGTTGATACACAAAGGGTGAAACTCATTCCCTAGATCTATTCAGTAGAAGAGTCAAAGGACTTACACAGGTGATGGGGTCAGGAGTTCTTCTCTAGGTTTGACCTGAGTCCAAGTGACTTAACCTCTCCTAGTCTCAGTCCCCTCATCCATAGAATAGTAATAATCCCACCCATCTCCAATGGCTCCCTTTGGACTGTGTATCAGTGAGATGTTGTGGGTCAATAAGCACCGTCCAAAGAAATCCAATGTGAGCCACATATGCACTTTTTTCTCTTATCAAACAAAAACTGACTGAATTTACGCTACTAGTACATATCTAACATTTTACCTACATATTGACACGGGTGCCCATTTTTACCAATGCCTTCTCCCTTCCGTAATGCCAACCACAGCCTCCCCACAGCAGGCACGCAGCATGTGAACTGTACAGATTAAAGTATAGCACAGTTTTAGTTCATTCTCAGAAAAACTCAAATCTTCACTGGCAATCAAGAGGTGCCCATGAAGGTGAGAGTGACCCTTCCCGGAGGTGCCGGTAACCACTATTCATCTGTGTGTCTCTGGTACTTAGTCAGACCCTGCCCTGTGTCAAATCATGTATTGTTTCTACTTTTATTATAAATGCGGAAATGACCCACATGCGAACTTTAAAATTTTCCAGGAGCCACACTAAAAACAATGCAATTCAGTGCCGGCTCCTGGTCAGAGTCCAGCCCCCGCTGCTGTACCCTTCCAGGGCCTGGGTGATTCCCGGGACACAGTGGGTGCTGGAGATCCTAATTGCTGAATAGACATGTCAAATGTAATGAAAAGCAAGGCACATGTCCACAGGTCCTGAGAAAGACTTTTAATTCAGTGTAAGGGAAACCCAATAGTTTGTCTATAAAAACGACTGCATCAAAAGTGAGTTCTCCAGCCCCTGAAGAGTCAAACAGAAACCAGATGTTGAAAGGCAGGCTCAGCATTTCTAATGGGAGTTGGACAGGGTCACCTGAGAGTCTAGAAAATATTTTAATTAAACAAGAAGAGGAAGCAGTGAAATAACCCTTCAAAAATATTTTAATTTTGTCCTTAAGTCTTCTTATTCCATGATCCACATCATGACCTAGATTTCAAATGTAATTAACTACAATATATTCTCCAAGTCCCACCCCCCGAAGATTCATGATAGAATGAAATACCAAGAACATTTCACAGGAGGGACATTCAGTGCGGTGGGAGCAGTGGTGTCGGTGATCCCTCTGAGGGACACCTCCCCGGCCCCTGCACACGAGAGAGACACAGCTGTCACAGGCAAGAGTCTCCCCCAGAGAACAGGGATGAGCAAAGCACTCAACCACACATCCTTTAAGGGATTTAACAAAAGGGTCGAAAAGGAAAAGATTACTTACCGAGTGCCCATTGTGCCAGACGGTAAGCACTCATGTATACATGACCCCTTCGGATACTCGCAACAATACCAAGAGGTGGTTCTTCTCATTTTATTTTACATTTTTATTTTTTTTATATATATTTTATTGATTTTTTTACAGAGAGGAAGGGAGAGAGATAGAGAGTTAGAAACATCGATGAGAGAGAAACATCGATCAGCTGCCTCCTGCACATCTCCTACTGGGGATGTGCCCGCAACCAACGTACATGCCCTTGACCGGAATCGAACCTGGGACCTTTCAGTCCGCAGGCCGATGCTCTAGTCACTGAGCCAAACCGGTTTCGGCTACATTTTTAAAAAATATATATATTTTTATTGATTTCAAAGAGAAAGGGAGAGGAAGAGAGATAGAAACATCAATAATGAGAGAGAATCATTGATCGGCTGCCTCCTGCATACCCCCCCCACTGATGATCGAGCCCACAACCCGGCATGTGCCCTTGACCAGAATCAAACCTGCAACCCTTCAGTTCTCAGGTTGACACTCTATCCACTGAGCCAAAC